TATATATATATATATATATATATACAGTGCTGCTTGAAAGTTTGTAAAGCCTTTAGAATTTTTTATATTTCTGCATAAATATGACACAAAACATAATCAAAATTTCACAAGTCCTGAAAGTAGACAAAGAGAACCCAAAAAAACAAGTCAGACAAAAATATGTTCTTTGTCATTTATTTATTCAGGAAAATGATACAATATTACATATCTGTGAGTGGCAAAAGTATGTGAATCTCTAGGATTGGCAGTCAATTTGAAGGTGAAATTAGAGTTCATCTGTTTTTCAGAGTTGTTTTCAATCAGTGAAATTACTATCAGGTGTCAGTGTGTACCCTGTTTTATTTAAAGAACAGGGATCTATCCGAGTCTGATCATGTTTGTGGAAGTGTATCATGGCATTGTCAAAGGAGATCTCTGAGGACCTCAGAAAAAGTGTTGCTGTTGCTCATCAGGCTAGAAAAGGTTACAAAAACCTCTCTAAAGAGTTTTGATTTCACAAATCCACAGTCAGACAGACTGTGTACAAATGGAGGAAATTCAAGACCACTGTTACCCTCCCCAATGAGTGTTCCACCAACAAAGAACACTCTAAAAGCAAGACGTGTAAAAGTCTACTAGGTTTCAAAGGACTGCAGGCTAACTTCTAAGCAACTAAAGGCCTTTCTCACATTGGCTAATGTTAATGTTTATGAGCCCATCATCAGGAGAACACTGAACAACCATGGTGTCCATGGCAGAGGTGCAAGGAGAAAGCCACTGCTCTCCAAAAAGAACATTGCTGCCCATCTGCAGTTTGCTAAAGATCATGTGGACAAGCCAGAGGAATACTGGAGAAATGTTTTGTGGATGGATAAGCCCAAAATAGAACATTTTGGTTTAAATGAGCAGCATTATGTTTGGAGAAAGAAAACAGTGCTTTCCAGCAGAAGAACCTTGTCCCATCTGTGAAACATGGTGGTGGTAGTATCATGGTTTGGGACTGTTTTGCTGCATCTGGGCCAGGACAGCTTGCCATCATTGATGGAACAATGAATTCTGAATTATACCAGCAAATTCTGAAGGAAAATGTCAGGACATCTGTCGGAGAACTGAATCTCAAGAGAAAGTGCAGCCTCTGAAATTCCTTAAAGTGAACAGAGTTGCCCAGTCTGAAATGGTGCAGGGAAGACAAAATGGCTGCAGAACGCTCCCGAGAGAGGCGGGCGCGCATCTCCACCGAGTTGAAACACACCACCAGATATGTTATAGACTGACTTGGGGCGAGAATGCTCTTCTGCTGGTTGACACATAGCCCTAGGGACTCCAAGTGACGAAGCAGTGTGTCTAAATGGCTAACTAGTGTAGCGTCTGGACCAATCAGACACACCATTTTTCATTTGATTTAACAAATAAATTATTCATTAGATTAACAAACGTTCACAGACCCCTCACCCAATAAACATACTGGGTGCCAAATTGTCTGTGAACAAAGCCCAGGACCCTGGTTACCATGGCAACCCTGACACCAGATACATTTACGACCTAATGGAATGTGAGCAGGGAAAATCACTGCATGTTCCATAGCAAGAGGAACAATGCACAGTGGAAATGGACTTTTCTACTAAATAATTCATAGGAAAACCTTTCTTTGAATGAACACACGTATCCTTCAGGTCATGGTGTATGTTGTCTTTGATATTTTTAGACTATTTTATGCATGCTTATGATGGAACCCATTCCTCTCATCTTGCCCATATGTAATCCTACCATGTTTAGTATCTATGAATTCACCTTCTGATGATCTCCACAAGCGTGTATATTATATGTTGGTACATAGGCAATATATTAGTGTCCTGAGAATCTTTAGTAATTTCGATTCAAGTTCCATTTGCAAATTACCATGCCCTCACACAAAGGGTCATAAAAACTCCCCAGTATCTCAAAACTCCCACTTGGGATACCAGCCTTTCTCATTGGACAAGCCCATCTTGAGAGGCGGGGATCTTCTCCGACCTTAAAGGCCTCACACCACGTGACCCGCCCAGAGTCGGTGGTTCTGTTCGGTTTTGAGAAGATGTGAGCTACAACGCTCCAGGACATCCTAAGTTCGTGCCAGGCTTCGGCCTTGACTTTTCCATTCACCAAGATTCTCTGACTCAAAACTGGTTCTTTTTCATCAACCAACTTCAGCAAAGATCAACTTGAACCTTTGGACTGCATCAAGCCTTTCTTTCAGACAGATGAGACGTGCAAGTATTCAAACTTAGTCTTATTAATTGACACATTAGGTATCATTTGCACCTTTTTACAAAGGTGTGTTCGCTACACTAGTGTGTCCTGTGAATGAGCTAAAATCCGCCAATCGTCCAGATAGTTGAGAATGCGCATCCCGCTCACTCTGAGGGGGGAAAGTGCGTGGGGCTAAAGCCAACTCCTAACTCCTCCCCGAACTTCCCTCTGCCCTGTATCTTGGTCTCTCATTGGCTGTAGGCCATCGCCAATGTAGTTTTCAGTCAGAAATCATTGCACACAGCGTGATTGTGAATCGCCGACAGCTCCAGATATTTAGCATGCCAAATATTTTGCGGGTGTCGGCGATTCCCTCAGATCACTCTTTGATAATTCACACTGCGTGATTGTCACTCGATCGCGTGAACGAGCACCGATTTGCCTCCGATTTCAGGCATTTGTCTGCAATTTCGCAAAACCTGTCGGCGAGTGAAAAATCGGGCTAAAATCATGCAGTGTGAACTCGGCATTAGTGCTTTCACACCTGGCCCGTTTTTTCGGAATCTGGCTCGTTTCCCCCCTTATGCCGGGCTCACACTACAGGAGTTTTAAAATCTTAACTGATTATGAAATCTGGTTGCAGCACACACATAAGGAGAATCTTTGCAGATTATCTTCCCTCAAATCTTAAATATGCACACACTACAAGATTTTAACATCGTGGCGCATCACACACTACAAGATATTATTAAGATTATCATGCCAGTGGGAGAGCCTCACGTGATCTCACGCAGCAGATCGTCATTGATATTTCAGTGATGTTTACATTTGTTAGCTAGCCTGCTAGCTGCTTTCTACACTCACCCGGTACATTCAAAACAGAGGCAATTTCACTCCAGCGCTTCTCTTTCTCCTTACGGTTGTGATACATTTTCGACACATTATACAGACAGTCGTGTTACTATAAAACGTCAATAGTTTCCTCCGTCTCCACTATCCAAAGGAGCCATACAGCAGCTGGTTTGCGGTCGTGCATTGGCTATTGTGAAATATATTACTGACGTAATCATATAGCCGTCATCATCCCGATTTAAATCCTAAATATCAAACATGTTTGATATGATCAGGGCGGCCCCGATTTGTGTGCGAGCAGATCGGGAGGTGCAAGATTCGATCGGTGAACGCCTCACATTACCAGATAATCCGCGTCAAACATCGGGACCGATCGAGGGGCTCAACAAGATTTTTGCTCCGATTCTCAGGAGGGGGAAATCGGGGCTAAATCAGGCTAAAAATCCTATAGTGTGAGCCAGGCTTTATACTTCAAAATGAACCTGTGAATGTCTGTGTGAGTACGTAGCCATTCAAAATAAAATAAAAAACAATCTACAATGTACTTCACGAAACAATTGTTGTTAATTTTTTGGTCATCGGATTATCGTGCAGTGTCAATGAAAGACACAGTTTTGACTGTCATGGTGTGTGCGTGAATGAGTGTGAAAAACTTGCTAATTGCTTCCGATCACTTATCACTTTTTCCATTTAAACTGGCTTATTCTGAATGCTGACACTGAAAATGATGCATGTGTTTTTCAGAAAGTATCGATTCATTTCTTGATTGCGTTTTGACATAGGCTGGTGCCTGAACATTTATATTTGTTAATTATCTTAAATGTATTTGCCCTGATTTGATCTGTTTTCCTGGGAACATTTTTATATTATTTTGTCATCTTTATTTTGTTTTAAGGAGTTAAAAATGGTCCTTATGATTGACATGGCAAAAAAATTCTATCACATTATTATGCCAGATAAAGTTTTGGGCGGGTTTTTGATGGATAGCCTACTGCCTGTATACATACCTTCCCTTCTTCGCGGTGATAAGCTACAGCAGTGAGGATAAAAAGGTAGATAACATAAACGATAAAGTTGAACAAGAACATCCGTTTCGCAAATCTCTCCCACTTCTCTTCAATCAGCCTGTTAAATGGCTCAATATTGAGCATCTCGAGGCGATTCTGAAATCAGATGAAATAACATGTTGCTATCAACAGCTTTTATCAAAATCAATAAAGCTTCTTTATAATGAAACATTTTGCTTTAATGAAGTAGTAAAATCTAATGCATTTAATGTCAAGTAAACAGCATGTCATCTCACAGGAATCTCACTGCCATAAACGATTATCTCCAGCGCGGAGTTCTTCTCATAGGTGTCGAGAGAGGCGAGGTCATACAGAGACGAGCACACTGGACCGTAGGCCCACTCCGTGATCTTCCGTGACAGATGTTTGCACCCCTTAAACTCCCGCTGCACGATGTGCTTTAACAGCTAGTTAACAAATGAGGAATCAAATCTGAATAATTGAATCAAGCTCTTTACAACATATGCAAATTAAAAAAGATTGACAAATATGTTTGAATATTAGTCTCCTTTCTTTTGGCAGTGCACTGATTTTAGTAATCAGCCAACAGCATCAGCATCAGCTAAAATATAGAACAAAAGCAATACAATAAATAAAAAACTTTAGGTTAAAGTAAAGGTTATGACCAGGGCTCTCAAGTTATAGGCCTAACAAAAGTTTGGAGTGAGACATCTGTTATGGGAAGAGCCACTCAAATATTTGCAGCAGCAGCCCCTCAGTCCCGCCCAATTCTCTCAAGTTTTTGCTAGCAGTTTAATTTTACCTATTGTTCATAATTGACCAGCACAAATAGAAATTATACTAATTGGTAAATCTGCTAAAACACTAAATGTCATCCAAATAAAATATTATATATATATATATATATATATACAAACATTATAACCACCATATACAGTGGGGCAAAAAAGTATTTAGTCAGCCACCAATTGTGCAGGTGCGCATGATCTGTTGAATCCATTTACACTATCCTCGGATAAGTTCTAATGTATTGCCATTGCGACTTACCTATGATGAATTTACAGCTGAGCACGAGCATTTCACGCATTGGATGCGTCAACGTCACATTTGCATATCTGAATTCCTGATTGGTTGAATGCAAATTTCAAATATTAAATGGAATGATCAAATAATGTTATTAACTGGTTAATGGCCATTTCAAATTTTCGATTCTGTTCAGAACTATAAAATTTGATTTTGTTACTGTTTCTGGTTCTGTTCCTGTCAAAATTCCGTTTGTTTCCAGTTTTCGTTTTCGTTCCTTGAACCAGTTCAAAGCCCTGTATAATAAAAATGTTTAACATATAAGCATAACATATTTTTCTTAAATATAAACATGCATGTTATATATACATAACAAATATACACAGTACACACACATATATTATGTACACACAAACTTTTATTTTGAATGTGATTAATCGCGATTAATCGTTGCCCAGCACAAATTTTTATACATTTAATTATTGTAATTTGTAGTGTCATTTATATGAGACTAATACTGGACTGGTCAATAAGAGTCTTGAAGTGCTACATTTTATTTATGGAAAAAGTAGTGACTGGCATAAATAAAGTGCACCACAAAAAAATATCTAGCATGTGTTGTGAGGTAGTCTATCGGTAATGTTTAATTGGAGTATTTTGCAGAGTCTTGGGATGCACATTGTAGCATTTGCACTTGTATATCTAGGAGGCAGTGGCGAGGAGATCTCTATTTATTCTATTATTCTATGTATGTGTATGTGTATGTGTATGTGTGTGTGTGTGTGTGTGTGTGTGTGAGAGAGAGAGAGAGAGAGAGTACACATTGATTTCAGCTTATGAATGGTGTTTTGTGTTGTAAATATTTGTTGCCTTGATGACAGGAGTAGGGGCTCCCACTTAAAGCACTGTGGCTCAAGGCCAGCCATTTTCGCCATCATAATGCGTTCCGTCCAGAGCCAAACTGTTCCTTCCTAGTTTTGGTTTTGTTCAAACCCACCATGAAGAACACCGTCTCTGCATCTGCATTTGAGTGGGGAAGCCACAGTGCTTTAAGGAGCCCCGACCCCTGTCATCAAGGCATCAAAATGTGCAACAAACACAAAAAAAAACAGAAAAAAAACCATTCATAAGCTGAAATGTGTTCTCTCTCTCTCTCTCTCTCTCTCTCTCTCTCGCTCTCTCTCTCTCACACACACACAGCTTGACATACTTGACTTGACGTACATGCTCAGGGCAAGTTCTGCAATCCTACTGTATGTGTATAGTATGTACATTGAGCACTGCTGTTCAGTTGGCTCATTTGGGGCCAAATTTATTTTTATTTTTTATACATTTGTATTTTTGAAACACATAAAACAGTTTATTTTATTTGGAAGAATTTGTCGGTCTTTTATCAGATTTACCAACTGTTATAACATCTCTAGTCCTTTCCTTAGTTTCAGGTAGCCAAAGCAAAGTTAAAGCTTCTGGTTTCAAAGAAAACAGTTCAAGAGTTTTTGACTGTATCAATAATAATTTAGCATGAATTTGGCTATATGCCCCAACATCAGCTCCCACTATCTTTGATCACAGGCAAGTGAAGTCGTCCAGGAATCGTAAAATGAAAATGCTTAAAAATATATATATTGTTAAATGAAGGGGTCACCTACAGCATTTATCAAACCTTGCTCTTCCAACATACATAATGTGTGTGTGCGCATCCATCTTTCCTAGTAACAAATGTGCTTGCACCGGGATCATGTAATTTACACGGAAACAACAACATTCTAATTTCTGATTGGTTAGTAGGTGGCATTTAACTCTGTATAACTGTAGAAACTTCCCTCTGTATGCCTGTGCCTCATCCATTATATATTGCGGGACAAGTTATCCCTTACTTCTCAGCGTGAGAAATACAAGGTGTGGCATGTGAGTGTGTGATCTTGTTGAAATGCTTGTGTCTCACGGTGAATGCGTGAGACTTGAGAGCCCTGGTTATGACTGTCACTGTAGACTACATGACTCAATGTGAATCAATGTTGTATCTGATTTAATGCCATGTGCTGAAGGGAAATACCATCTCAAATCACATGAGGACTAAACATCTACACAAAATCAGGAACATCCAAAAACAGAATGCAGAACTGACACTTAAAGAAATACGCACTGCTTCAAACGAATCACTCCTTCAAATAAATACTGGCATTTTGCAAGACATAAATTGTTCATATTCTTGGACATTCAACAATCAATCAGTAGACACCAGAAAAATTAAGGTTTACCCCCACTTTTCCTGTTTTGGCAGCTAATGTGAGTGGGGTGAGTCCTTCATTATTTTCAATTTCCTCCAGTTTAATCTTGGGGTGAAGTTGGTCGGCTTTGAATAAGATGTGGTCATACATGGCAATGACGAACTCTGTGTTTTTAGGACTGTTATCAGCTATGGATACTAGTGCGTGAAGCACCGTGTTTCCATGAGAGTCCCTCTCCCTGACATCCACTGCCTGGTATGGATTGTTCATAAGGAAGTCAACAATGTCAGGCTGATTAGTGCAAGCGGCCAGAGACAAGGGCAGCTCACCTGTGCAAAAAAGTTGTAAAAGATACAGATAAGCCTAGGCACCCACAAATGTGGGTCAGTAACAATTCATTAAGTAGAATTTGAAAAGGATATACATTTAAAATGCAGCATTTCCACTGTTTAAATTATATCAATATTGCAAAAATTTAACCATATCAATAGACCTACCAAAATAGAAGCATGTTTCTTGATTGGGCTGAAAGAATTTCCCACAGGCCTTAGCATGGACATCAGCCCCTTTTTTAACCAGCATCTGTACAAAGTTTGCACTCCTCTGTTCAATTGCAACATGGAGTGCTGTCTGACCTGCCTCAGATAGATCAGTCGATAACATTGCAAAATTAATAGGTTGGACATGTTAAATATGATCAATATTCTGTTGATTTATAAAAAATAAATTAATAATGTTAGCTAATATAAAACTAGATCTAATAATAATTATACTAATAAAAACATTATGTAAAATGAAGCTGTCTCTGACCTTTGTAGTAACTGTCTGTGTAGGCAGCATTGACAAAATCTTTTAAATCTCCCGTTTTCTCTGCAATTTCCAGCAGATGTTCAATAGTGTCATTCTCACCTTCCTTCAAATTTAAAAGTGCTTTCAGCAGAGCTGTCTTTCCATTGGACTTATCTAAATAAGTTATAAAAACAGTTGTTTCATTATTTAATAAATATTAGTCATGATAAGTTTGTGGTCAGTCAGATTTCTTTTCTTTTTAAGAAATTAATACTTTTATTCAGCAAGTACACATTAAATTGATTAAAAGTGACAGTAAAGACATGATAATGTTATAAAAGATTTATATTTCAAATAAATGCTTTTGAGCTTTTTCAGAACTGACACTTAAAGAAATACGCACTGCTTCAAACGAATCACTCCTTCAAATAAATACTGGCATTTTGCAAGACATAAATTGTTCATATTCTTGGACATTCAACAATCAATCAGTAGACACCAGAAAAATTAAGGTTTACCCCCACTTTTCCTGTTTTGGCAGCTAATGTGAGTGGGGTGAGTCCTTCATTATTTTCAATTTCCTCCAGTTTAATCTTGGGGTGAAGTTGGTCGGCTTTGAATAAGATGTGGTCATACATGGCAATGACGAACTCTGTGTTTTCAGGACTGTTATCAGCTATGGATACTAGTGCGTGAAGCACCGTGTTTCCATGAGAGTCCCTCTCCCTGACATCCACTGCCTGGTATGGATTGTTCATAAGGAAGTCAACAATGTCAGGCTGATTAGTGCAAGCGGCCAGAGACAAGGGCAGCTCACCTGTGCAAAAAAGTTGTAAAAGATACAGATAAGCCTAGGCACCCACAAATGTGGGTCAGTAACAATTCATTAAGTAGAATTTGAAAAGGATATACATTTAAAATGCAGCATTTCCACTGTTTAAATTATATCAATATTGCAAAAATTTAACCATATCAATAGACCTACCAAAATAGAAGCATGTTTCTTGATTGGGCTGAAAGAATTTCCCACAGGCCTTAGCATGGACATCAGCCCCTTTTTTAACCAGCATCTGTACAAAGTTTGCACTCCTCTGTTCAATTGCAACATGGAGTGCTGTCTGACCTGCCTCAGATAGATCAGTCGATAACATTGCAAAATTAATAGGTTGGACATGTTAAATATGATCAATATTCTGTTGATTTATAAAAAATAAATTAATAATGTTAGCTAATATAAAACTAGATCTAATAATAATTATACTAATAAAAACATTATGTAAAATGAAGCTGTCTCTGACCTTTGTAGTAACTGTCTGTGTAGGCAGCATTGACAAAATCTTTTAAATCTCCCGTTTTCTCTGCAATTTCCAGCAGATGTTCAATAGTGTCATTCTCACCTTCCTTCAAATTTAAAAGTGCTTTCAGCAGAGCTGTCTTTCCATTGGACTTATCTAAATAAGTTATAAAAACAGTTGTTTCATTATTTAATAAATATTAGTCATGATAAGTTTGTGGTCAGTCAGATTTCTTTTCTTTTTAAGAAATTAATACTTTTATTCAGCAAGTACACATTAAATTGATTAAAAGTGACAGTAAAGACATGATAATGTTATAAAAGATTTATATTTCAAATAAATGCTTTTGAGCTTTTTAATCATTAAAGAAATCCTGAAAAAAGTATCACTGTTTCCACAAAAACATTTATACAGCACAACTGTTTCAACACTGATGATAATTATAAGAAATGTTTTTTTGAGCACCAAATCAACATATTTCTAATTTCTGAAGGATCGTGTGACACTGAAGACTGGAGTAATGGCTGCTGAAAATTCAGCTTTACTATCACAGGAATAAATTACATTTTTAAATATATTAAAATAGAAAACAATCATTTTAATCTGTAATAATAATTTACAATATTAATGTTTATACTGTCTTTTTGATCAAATAAATGCAGCCTTGGTGATTATGATCATTTTCTTTCAAAAATCTTACCAAGCCCAAACTTTTGAATGGAAGTGTACTGTATATTTGTTCTTGAATACAATTACATTGAGAGTCGGTGAGCCGTTTCATGTTTTTGTGCAGGTACTCATGTAAACCATGCAGTTTAGACACATCTCCACTGGACACAGCATCAAACAGCCTCTTGAGGGTAAACCTCTCTCTGTCCTGCTGAGCTGGCTCCTCTTTCACTTTTCTGATTCCCCTGTGTGCAGAATGTATCTGATAAAGTAAGGATTTCTCACATTGTGTTTATCATACACTCTGGTGTGGTTTAAGGAGTCCCACTTACCTGTCAAAGTGTAGATTAAATTTAATTGTGTGCACAGGCTCGTCTATCTCATCCAGGTAATTAGAATCCATGGGCCTCTTGTCCTTTGAGGTGCCTTTCTTCACCTGTTTGGCCTTTGCCCTTTCCTCCTCTGTCAGGTCATCCGTCTCCAGGAAGAATGTGGGGCTGCTGTCTTTTGATTTACTCATAGTGATGTCTTCTTAGTCATACAGCAGAAGATAAAGCCTGCAAACAGTGTAAAAGTGATATCATTCACAGATACAGGGCATTAGGTTTACATTTCATACAAATAAGGTCTAGGAAATATGAGTCTGACCACAATTATCGATTTTACTTTCATACATAAATGGGACATTCTGACACTAGCTAGCTTTAAAATTAGGAATTGTGCGTTGATGATAATTCACTAAATGTTTCTTCCTTTGTGACCAGTCAAATTGATTTGTGATATAATGTAGACTAAGAGCTGCTTTTTTAAGAGTAGAAGCTGCTTCAGTGTTATAAAGGATCATCACATTGTCTTCTCATTTTAAAAACCATTAAAAGAGGAAGGGGTCACAAATGATCCAAATGGAAGCTCTGTGACATGAAGTTGAAGGAAATGCAGAACTACTGCTGTATCTCTCTTCATAAAAGCAGCTAGAATAATTATGGAGATGTGATGATATGTAGTTCTGATCATAAGACCACATATATAGGCCTATATAACCCATCTAATGGATCTGTGGTTATTTTTGGTACACAACAAATCCATTCTTAATGTAAAAACATGGATTCATTTAAAGGTCAAAATACTGTAATAGGTATTCAAAGATACAGAAGATAGAGAAACAAACAAAAAATATATGCAGGTTCAGTTTGTATGTGTAAATAGAGATGGTGGAAATCGCTGCATGCTCTACTAGACCCTTGCTAACTGAATTATTGATATCTCTTCATGCTGTTACATGCTATATGATCCCATCCAGGGAATGGGCCATGATTGTCCCATCAAGGAAATCTTTCCCTGAGAATACATGGAAATGCATTTCTGACTAAATGCAATAACTAATGCACTGGATATTCTGTACTGTAGAATATTATAACTTAGCCTCTTTGCAAAGTAAAGAAAGGGTGTCAAGGATACTAGAAATATATTTAAATCAGGAACAGAACTGAGCATATTCAGTCTGTATGTGAAAGCACTCCTCGATGGGTGAGGCAGCACAGCTTGTTAAAGACTCTAACAGATATTTGATGGACAAATTATATTAGTTAATGTTGTTTTATGCTGGATAGTCTTACTTAGTAAAGTATTATGACATGGCCTCTCTGTAAATGGGTTCAGATAACATTACAGCAGAAACTGTACATTACGCAGACACCATCTTTAGATCATCTCACTGTTATCATGTTATCAGTTTTAAAAAGACAAATGTTAACTGATCTGCACAAATATGGACTAAAGTAGATCACAAAAACATAAAAAATTAAATAAACCTAAGGCATTTGGCAGCAAAAAACAACGTTACAGGTTTTAATGTGATTTGCTACAATAGCAAAATCTGAATTTATTTAAATATTGCTGTAAACTTAAGAGTAAAGTATGAAACATTTGTACTCACCAATTAATTTCAGTTTTTTTAATCCGTTAGATGAAGCTTGATTCCTTTAGCACAATAACTTGCTCTCTCTCTCTCTCAGTGTCAGTCTCAGAGAGGAAGAGGGCAAGATGTTCTTGAAGTTGCTGAGAGCCTTACAGAAAGGCGGGTTGTATTGATTTTTTGAGTATGTTGTTACATATGTTTTGCCATGTCCACGCCTTGTAGCTCATTTGTCATCTGCTCACAATGCACTAAAAGTCATCAAACTCCTTCTTAAAATGCTTCATTTTCATCTAGCAACACTATATTCTACTACATATCTTAACTATCCAAATGATCAATTATTCATGTGCTGGAATGCATATAATATCGTACCTCTGAGCAGCACGTTTGGTTTGGAGCAGCATTCAGATCACCTACACTTGTTTGTTGAGACGGTTCTGTTGAGCAATTTCACTTTCTTAGCGTGCAGAGTTTCCTGTATGACACTGGAGGACTGTGGCAGAGTAAGGCGGTTTTGCCCCATGCATGGTGGTGTAGGTGAATACATTATGTGAACTAAATGAAACCATGCAGTCGATTCTTAATTAAGTTCTTTATTGTCACTGTACATGTACAATGAAACTTGGTGCACACCTGGTAAAGAATTTGCTCCTTTGAGGTGAAGCTGGACTGTACCTCCTTTTCCTCTTTAGAAACAAACAGAAATTAACAAACATGTGCAGCACATGAAATATACGCATAAGCTCAATTAAAACAAAAGAATGACCCCAAAAAACGTTTGAAATGTGATATATTCCAACTGTTTATTAACATTTGAAATGCCACTGAACATTTTAAATACATATTTTGTATTGTACTCAACAACAATAGTTATATAATGAGCAGTATATAACTATATATATATATATATATATAACAATATAATGAACAATAGATAAATGTGACCTGTGTTAAAAAAATGTAAATATTTTTTTAATTAAATACACTTAATTACAAAGTGTGATTATTTATACATTTTAATACAGAAAAAAAGTCCTACAAGCGTTGTAGGTCATACCATACCAGCATGGTAGGTCAGATGTCTCAGACATAGATATGTATACGTAGATGCCTCATTAGCGACCGTTTCCGTGGGCCGCTATACGTAACGCCCGTTTCACACCGCACGAGCACCCTGCTCGGTGTGAAACAGGCGTAAGCCGTCTGCCATATTCGAAGGGTCACATTGACGTAATTCACCATAACAGTAACATAAGTTAACTTACCAATGTTTCAAAACTTGTAATATTGAGTTAATACATTTAGAGTCGGAGGACATGACCCATCCATCACTGAACCTTAATGAACGGTGTGCTACTGGCCAGTAAAATAGGTAAAGAATGACATGAGTGGACACATTCAATTATAGTGGCAATAAGTATACTGGTGTTAGGCACAGTGGATTCATAGTGTTTGGACCTTATTTGCATCATCCTGTGATGCTTGTTAGATGTAGGTCTCTGTTGTGACACATCAGACACAAGCAGCACCACACGTAACTACAAGAGGGCGATACACAAACAGTTTGACCCCTAAAATCAGTCCAGCTGATCATCTGCTTCATTGTGTTTTTAAGATGAGCTTTCAATAATTACATTGTTATCCAATAATAGTGAGATAAATATGTAAATATATCACAATACCAATCATTCATAATCACTCAGAACATAGGCCTAAATTCTGAAATAAATGTCTATAGCCAACATTTAAACTTTGCACAGTTTTGCGTGCAGGTGTCTGCAAACTGTTGAAGCATTTTGATACAGTTTCCTTCTCTCAACTCAACAAATCTGTTGGTCTGTAAGTATTTTTTCTAATTTTGAGCTAACTTCAGAAGATTATATTACTTAATTGATTAAGTCTGAGTCCTCCATGTTCACTTGATCCTTTACACCAGGGATAGGCCACGTCGGTCCTGGAGTGCCGCTGTCCTGCAGAGTTTAGCTCCAACCCTGAAAAAAAAACCTCACCTGCATTTAACCTTAGTAATTCTGAAGACATTGATTAGCTTGTTCAGATGTGTTAGATTAGGCTTGGAGCTAAACTCTGCAGGACAGGGGCACTCCAGGACCGACGTTGCCTATCCTTGCTTTACCCACTGTTTTAGTTCAATTCTGTATCCATTCAATTTCCCCTATTATTGCAGCTAAAATAAATTCTTCATTATCTACTGCCGCTGTTCCTTCATCATTAAAATGTACAATCAATTAAAATGGCTTCTATTACTCCAATTCTTAAACATATTGGGGTGGATCCTAAAGATTTGAATAATTATTGGCCCATTTCCAACCTTCCTTTTATTTCAAAATTCTTGAAAGAACAGTAGCAACTCTTCAAAAGAAAAAAAAGAACTCTTAAAAAGAAAAACATCTTCAAAGTAATGACATCTATGAGCACTTTCAATCGGGCTTTAGATCTAAACATAGTATAGAAACAGCTCTTATTAAAATTACAAACAATCTTCTTCTTGCAGCTGATTCCAGCTGTCTTTCTATTTTTATTCTTTTAGATATTAGTGCTGCATTTGACACCATTAGTCATTCAGTACTATTGGATTGATTGGCTTGTATTGAGGTAGTTGATAATGAACTACTTTGTTTTTCATCTTATTTAAATGACAGAAAACAGTTTGTAGAGATTAAGAATGTTCAATCAAGTCCCATTTCAGTTACTCAGTGTTCCACAGGGGTCAGTGTCCCCCTTTTATTTTTCATATTCTGAGCCGGTTGAACATCGATACAAATATGTGATGATTCAAGTCGGTTGAGATGTTAAACGAATTGCTATGCATTTGAGGGTGGGAATTTATACGAATGTATCTCTGAGGGGAACTGACTGTCTTCATTAAAGTTTAGATAGTATTTTCTTTTCATCTCTTCTCTGTATAATACTTTTATAGTTGTGTTAATAAGTGCAGTGCTGCTTTGTTTACAGCAGTAACCAAGGAAATGCTGTATTGCTGCTGTTCCAGAAGTGCCTCCTGCTGTCAGAAAGTGAATCTGCGTCTCATTCAACCAGTCTGCTGTGTTTTGTGCAGATGTTTTATGTAGTATAGTTTCACAAAACTAGTTAGAGCATTCAGTTTTTGTTTAAAATGTAAAATTATACAATCTAATTTAGATTAAAAAACGACTCATGCTGCATCTTTGTTTGGACTGTGATTCAAATGAAGTGGTTGCTTCTAATTTTGAATGGAAAGAGCACAGACAAAGCCTTAGTTTGATTAAATGAAGAGATGTATTTTTGTCTTATTTAATTATTTGATTTGGGGTTTGTTTAAAAATTTCAGTTTAGTTTTGTTATTTGACATATTTCAATTTCACAAAGAAATGTGCAGCATTTTGTCCAAGCAATAAAAGGACACCTTTTCATTTATAATTTGTCTTAAATCTCATTTTGTTTGAAAAAATCATATCATGAAATGAGCCCTCCGGAGGAGCCTGCCAAGAGTAAGCTCGACTCCTGGTATTTTAGATCTTCTCGCCGGCTAGCTGATTTGAGGGCATCGGTCCCCTTCTTCCCCGATGTCCATGAACAGCTCGTGAAGACCCTGGGCTCGGACATCAGCCTCCCGTCTAAGCAGTGCAGGACCACCGCCCAGCTCGCTAACAAGGCCTACGCAGTAGATGGTGAGGCGGCGTCAGCACTGCATACCATGGCGGTGCTGCAGGTGATTCAGGCGAAGAGTTGCGGAGGGCGGAGCCCTCACACCGGATGCCGTTAATGACCTATGCGTGGCGACAGACTTTGCTTTGATGGCCATGAAGCGCGCAGCTCAGGCAATCGGTAAGGTGATGGGTTTTATGGTCATACTTCAGAGGCATCTATGGTTGAACCTAGCTGACCTCAAAGACGCGGACCATAAAATTCTGCTTAATGCCCAGGTGACTGACTCCGGCCTCTTCAGTGATGCCGTGGAGTCCATCATTGAGTGCTTCGCGCCAAGGCAATGAGCCACGTGATCCCGAGGCATGCTTTCCAGCAGCAGACTGCGAGATCCCAGTCTTCATCGGCGCACGGTCCAGCGCAGAGGAGGGACACCAGGCCACAGCCGCTACTATGACTGCTGCTGCCCCTCGCCAGGAGGCGGATGTGTGGAGGAAGGTGTGGGGACCGGGGAAGAGGCGCCACGGCCAGCGGAGGAGCCCGTGCCTCGACTCCTGCCTGCCTCCAGTTGCTAAGCCGTCGTCCTGACAGCCCGGAGAGGAGGGAGGAGTGCAAGAGCAGCCCTGCCCCCAAGCGCCGCAAGCTGTCCCAAAATTGTTTGTTTGATAAACATGTGTTCAATAAAAATGCAGATATTCGCACAAAAAGTGCTTTTCCCTCCTCACTCAGTCGATGTGGCTATGCTCGCCCCACCTCAGAACGGTGCAGAGCCGTCGCCCCAGCGGCGCCACGGCCTGCGGAGAAGCCCATGCCTCGACTCCTGCCTGCCTCCAGCTGCCAAGCCGTCATCCTGACAGCCCGGAGAGGAGGGAGGAGTGCGAGAGCAGCCCTGCCCCCAAGCGCCGCAAGCTGTCCCAAAATTGTTTGTTTGATAAACATGTGTTCAATAAAAATGCAGATATTCGCACAAAAAGTGCTTTTCCCTCCTCACTCAGTCGATGTGGCTCTGCTCGCCCCACCTCAGAGCGGTGCAGAGCCGTCGCCCCAGCGGCGCCACGGCCAGCGGAGAAGCCCATGCCTCGACTCCTGCCTGCCTCCAGCTGCCAAGCCGTCATCCTGACAGCCCGGAGAGGAGGGAGGAGTGCGAGAGCAGCCTTGCCCCCAAGCGCCGCAAGCTGTCCCAAAATTGTTTGTTTGATAAACGTGTTCAATAAAAATGCAGACATTCGCACAAAACGAGCTTTTCCCTCCTCACTCAGTCGATGTGGCGCTGCTCACCCCACCTCAGAATGGTGCAGAGCCGTCCCCCACACCGCCACGCCACTCGCCGGCACATCCAACGACCAAGCTGCTAAAGCCGCTATGTCAGTTCCTGAGCGCGTGGGAAGTTATTCCGGGAATCTCGCCCTGGATACTCGGTATGATAGAGCGTGGGTATACCCTTCAATTC